ACATCTAAAATATGCCCACCATTTTCTAAAATATCATTAATAGGCGCCGAAAAATTACCTTTCCATATACAACGAAATAGGAAATGCTGAATCTGTAATCGATCGCATTCTTCTTCATCCACTGGCATACTATAACTCGATCCTCGAATATTATGAAATTTTCTTCCACCTACACATCGAAAACTACTTATATTTGCTTTTTGTGAACCAGAGTTGCGTGAATTGTGTGAGGTTAAATTTTTGAGATAAACTGAGGAGTTATTACCCATATTTCTTATTTTCTTATGTTTTATTAATCAATGAAGAAATATTAGCGTTAGTTAAGGTAGATTCTTCCATGGTTTTTATATTTTCAAAAGATAGGGCCTGTGCGTTTAACAAAAATTCTTCAAACTGCTTAAATAAATTATTATATAATCGCTTACATTGCATATATAACGTAATACTATGATATGCACGTGTGACGATCATTGCTTGGATTACGTTTATTTTAAATAATCAAATTATCAAACTATTTTCTCACGCGTTTTTTTTTTTATTTGTTCATTTGAAGATAGTTGAAACGTGTATAACATTCACAATACTTTATTGGGCATAGCACACAGATCTCACAAAATGTTCACAGATAACCTAACATAAAAAAGGGGGTGCATAAAAAAACACAGATACATTGCGTAAATCTGTAATTGTAATCAATGCTTAGTTCAGCCACTATTCCAAAAACGTTTCCTTATCGTTATACATACATGCAGTAGAAATTATTTCTATCTCATGCGGCATTACCTAAAGTTAAAATTCATGTGGTCAAAGCCTAAAGTCAAAGTAATAAAGTATAATTGATATATGTAGTTATGTAATAAATAATTCGATTTATAAATTTTTTATTGTTAATTTACTGTACATATTATAGCGATAATATAATTAATATCCTGGGAACTAAAAATTTGCTCGTTTCCCGAAAACTCCTCGGTCTCGTTCTAAGAATCACCTAACCTTTCGGAAACTACGTCGCTGTCCTTGGGACTTCGATACAGAGTCAACGACATAGTTCCCAAAATTCTAGGACAAGATCGCAAACTTTTTTAGGTGTCCCAGAATTCTTAAAAACAGCTATTTTGCGGGCCGTGCGAGCCGGCAAAAGTACAAATTTTTTAGGCCTGTGCAGGCCCCTGTATGTACGTACGTATTCACTAGTGATACGTACGTACGTACCAGATACCCGTTTGAGAAATACAGTATAAGCCATTTTTGAAACTATCAAGAAATTTACTATCCTGTTGTCATCTTATATGGCTAAACTGTTTGGACAGGAATTTTATTTGCTTCAGAATGAAATCTTGATAAATTCCAAAAGGAGTTATTGTTTTTAGATTAGTCTTAACGTTAACATTAGAATTTTTAAATAACGATAGGTGTTATGTGTAGGATCTTCCACATTTTTTATTCTTTTTATTGCATACATATGTCTGTATGTGATCGGCTTCTAAGTAAGGGTTGGACCCGGATAAGGGTTAACTGGGTAACCCACAAATAATAATAAAGCGAATATCCGGTTAAGACACTGATAGGGTTGTTAAAGTTCCCATGAAAGTATTATTGTAGCATGACATAGTGCTGGATTTTCTAGCATGATGATGATCCAAAGCATATGTTGGATGAGATTTGTAACGAACTTTTATTGCGATTACTAAATCGGGCTTTTGCATAGTTCAGATCTCAATTCCATTAAAACAATAGTAGCAAAAATGTAGG